GGTAAGGTCCAGAGGGTAAATTGACCAGGGATCTGTGGCTGGTTTCTTGGAACCGGACAGAACTTGTTCGGGGTAGGTGGGATTGGGTGTTAGGACCCCCCCACCTGTGTATAGGCCCGGGGCCATCTGGGGCACGGATATTGCTGGGGTGTCGGAGGGGTTTTGCTCGGGAGGCTTCAGGCAGGTTGCTGAAGCGCTCTGTGGGACTGGTTTGTGGCCTGTTTGGAGAGGTCACCAGTCTGGGGGCTGTAAGGAGCCCCGGATTTGAGCAATTCGCCCTGAGCGGATGCCCTCAGCTGTGCCCAGACACGGCCCGGTCCGTCACGGGGCAAAGAGTAGGTGAATTGGCAGTCGATTATTTGGGGCCTGAGGTGCTCAGGGATCCTGAATATTCATAGGTGGGGGCAGGGCTTCAGCAATGTTAACTGCCACCCAACCTGAGTGATGAATTCCCAAGCTGGGGGCAGCCGGGCCTTTGTGGCCAGGAGTGTCTTTACAAACAGAGACAGGGGGATTAAGGTAATCAAAGTTTGTCGGAACGAAAGGCTCATGAGAAGGTCTTCAAAGCAGCCTCAGGTAGTCCAGTCAAAAGATAAGAAACTAAAAGGTGGGCTAAGGGGGGTTCAGAGGCAGAGCTTGAGGGGGGCTACATACACTAAACATTATTTCAATGTCTTTAAACTAAACCGTGAGCCACCTGATTTAAAAAAATAAACCTCAAGAAAGAATAAGCTCTGAGAGTAAAAAGAAAATGCAGGCAGAAACCTCCCTTAGGGGAAGGGCTATTAATACACATTCTCTATGCCTTCCTAAAGAGGCGAGGGTGGGAGAGGATAAAATACAGGTAAGCTCTGATGAGAAAATAGGGAGGTAATTCAATGTAACATCCCTGTGGTGGGGAAAACGCCTTGGCAGCCCAAGACTGTGGCATTTCAATTCAGAAAGGGGAACTACACAAAAACGAGGTGGTTACTTCAACAGAAATTATAAGGTACAGTATCAAAAGTGAAATCTCTGCAAGCTGCAGCAAAATGCAGCTGCATGGAGACTTTTCAAAAACGCAGTCGACCCCAAATTAAATGTTTACCCCAAATTAAAAAAAAAAACATAGTAGGAGAACCAAAAAAGTGCCACTGTGGCATAACAACTAAGTAAAAGAAGCAGCAAGAGATAAAAAGGCATCATTTAAAAAGCGGAAGGTCAAATCCTAGTGAGGAAAATAAAAAGGCGCCTATTCCCTGGCAAATGAAGTGTAAAAATGTAATGGAGGAAGGCCAAGAAACAATCTGAAGAACAGCTAGACAAAACCTCAAAAAGTAACGGCAATTTTTAAAGTACATCAGAAGCAGGAAGCCTGCTAAACAAAAACCTTCCCAGAGCCTGAGGCGATGGGGTGATGGGTGAGCAGTGGGAGATTGGATGGCGGAGTGGTTTCCACTCTAGGTATTTTGGGCACCACCAAAATTTCTGCAAACCTGCCACCCATGGGTAAATGCCAAGTCTCCCCTCAGCTGAGGGTTCCCAGCAGTGTCTGCCCATGCCACAAGGCTAAGATGTTGTCATGGATCATTTTGTAAGTCATAGACAGGACCCGGGCAGTAAACACAAATTCACAAAGCTTGTGTCCTATTTGTGACTTTACTAAAAATAACCGGGGCGCACTAACTTTACTAAAAATAAGTGTGGTGGGGAAGGAATGGAGTCCCGTTAATGACAGGCCAAGACCCCTACCATGGCAGGGAAAACTGCCCCAGCAGCTACAGCCAGGGGCACAACCAGGGAGGGGGATGCACAGTCTGCGGGACAGGGCTGTGTGATCCCAGCTGCAGGCCCTCCCAAGCCCCAGCCACAGCCAGGAGGCAGGTGTGTGTGGCCCTGGATGCCGCAGGGCCACACAGCTCCCATCGCAGCCCCTGCCACAGGGCTGGGGCACACGGCTGCAGCCACCCCCCGCAGAAGCCGTGGGGCTAGGACACAGCAAGGGGACACAGCCCCTGCTCCGGAGCTAGCTGCAGCTGCAGGATGGGGTTCACGGACCCACTGCGGTTCCCCCCAACCCTCATGCCCCAGAGCAGGTGCTGCAGGGTCCCGATTCCAGCCCCCCAACCCCAGTTGCCGCAGGGCAGAGGAGCAAGTTGGAGGTCTGACGAACTCGGAGGCTTAACCGTAAGGCTGGCGGGTTGTCTGTGGTCTGGAAAGCTTTGGGGTCTTTCATGTCCTGCCCTGGAGACCCCAAGATGGCTACTCAGGTACCGGAGCTGTGCCCCTTCCGTGGCCATTGAAAGATGGCTCAGGGCACAGCGACATTTCGGTGCACGTGGGGCCTAGAAGTCTGAGGCGCTGGGGAGGTTTGGGGGGTGCTGGCACTTGCAGGGGGGTGAAGCAGACAGAGTCCTTCACCACCTCCAGAACAAGCTACCGGCATTTGTGATCACTGCCAAGGATTCAGTCCCAAGTCCCGTCCTGTGCCCCACCGCCAGCCCCTGGATGTGTGTGTCTGGGGGCCACCGGCAAGGCTGTGTCAGCAGTGGGCACTTACCTTTCACGCGTGTTCCTGGCATTGGCTCCTGCCGAGTGTCAGGTTGCTGGTCTCCAAGGTACCATGAGGCCCATTCCATGATGCTGGACTTTAACAGTGGGGGTGGGGGAGAGCTGTAAAGTGCTGGACACTTGACCGAGCAGTTCACGCTTACATCGTGATCCGTAAAAGAGCGGGACTCTCTTACCGAGGAGACTAAGGCCTTGCTTCTGCACACCTGGGTGTGTTTAATGTCCTGCACAGGACTGGTCCCCTCACCTCAGAAAAACTATTCCCGTGAGCCCAAGATTAGGTGCAGCTCTTCCATATTGCTGATGGGTGCGCGGCCCCACACCTGCTAAAAATGGATTCGGTGGATACCCTCCATTGTACCACAAGTGTCTGGCTCTCGTTCTGTCAGCAATTCCAGCTCAAACGTAGTGGTTCCCAAACAGGGAGCCAGGGACCACGAGTAGGTTTCAACGGGGTGGCAGAGCATAAGCAGAACCAGTGTTAGACTTGATGGGACCAGCACAGAAAGCTGAAGTCCCACAGTGCGGGGCTGACGGCCAAGATGCCCTGCTCTGCCACATGAAGCTGAAGCCAAAGCCTGAGCAACCTAGCTTTGCGGGGACCCCCTGAAGCATGGGACCCCAGCTTGCTATCTCTTAACGCTGGCCCTGGCTTTTATATTCAGAAAACAATTTATTGTAGCACTGGTGGGCTGTGGGGGCAGCTCAGAAAGATTGAGAACCCGTTGTAATGAACAGATTGGTCATGTCTTGTGCGCTGGTGAGAAAAGCAGGCCTCTACCACAAGCCGAACGTGTAGATCAGGCATGTCCAAAGTCCGGCCCACGGGCCAATTGCGGCCCGTGTTCCGGTTTAATACGGCCCCCCAGGTAATTTGGCAATATCTATCTTTTATGGCCCCCAACGAATCCATATGTATTGAGATGAATACATTGTAAAATCTCAGTTAATGTCAGTTGGTCTAAATCAGTTATAAATATATTTGGACACAACATGTATACTTGGTGTTATGTTCCTGTTCATATTTTTTGAACTTAAAAGTTGACAGACAACCTTTATTACCAATAATATGTAATGTACTTTACAATTTGAGATGACTACATTGTAAAATCTCAGTTAATGTCAGTTGGTCTAAATCAGTTATAAATATATTTGGACACAACATGTATAGTTGGTGTTATGTCGTTTGCCGTTTGCAATAAACTTTGCATAAAATAGTTAATTTGCATTTAATTTTAATGGTTCAAAGAATGTCAGGCAAAATGGTCGGCCCTCACGCATGTTCACTTCATCAAATCTGGCCCTCTTTGAAAAAAGTTTGGACACCCCTGGTGTAGATTAACTCAGCAAGGTCTGCAAAGAGAAAGGGGGACCCCTTGTGGATTTCATAGGAAGTTACAGGGACTGCTGCAGGGAGTAACCAAGTTAGTCTATAAAGTGCTACCAGACCATTTCTTGTTTTTAAAGTGCATCCTGAACAGACTAACAAAACATGTAGATGCCCATTTAAATCAGGATGTTCCTTCCAGTTGTTCTATTGTGTGCCCCACACAGTCTATGACATGGCCTGTGCTACGGGATTATGACATTATGAGGAAGACATGCCAAAGCACCAATAACTCAAAATGAGTTGACTTCTTGGTGATCAAAAAACAATGGTAAGGTTGTGTCCAGTAACGTTATTTTTCTGTGGAATAGTAAATAAATATACCCCACAATTACATATAAAACCGGACTAATATTTACAAAAATGCATGAAATTAAAATGTCTTTGACTGCCTTGTGCAGCGCCGTCCTTACCCATGCGCAGAACATGCAGCTGTGTAGGGCACCCAAAAATTAGGGGCACCACTGGGTCTTAATGTCCACCCATCCCTTCCTAGCCCTGTTCTGTGGTTTTGCTTCCTCCAGAGAGGAGCTAGTTAACTTAAAAGTGGAAAAGCCTGCCAGAGCTATTAGCAGAACAAGAACCTCTGAAAGAGACATTCAAGAGGGAATGAAGCCATTTAACAGTCATTTGCCAACCCTAAGTATATACTCTCAGTTTCTGAATGTACTCTGTTAGTCAACAGGCCCTTAGTTTAAACTTTGCTTTAAAACTAAGATTATAAAATCACCTCTGTAAAAAAATCGTCAGAAAACCCTTTTGGTGTGATTCAAGTACCAGCTTTTATTTCTCTTTACCATTACTAAGGAAGAGTTCTTGGATTACTTTCCTTCTCCACCATGTTTATTTGCACAATGATTTGAGAAGGCCTGGGATCACTGTGATTTTTGACTGTGTAAAGCCCCCGTGTCCCTCTGCTCATGTCTCGGTGGTATCCCTGCACGATGGCATTAGGACTGGACACGCGTATGGAGATGGGGGGTCTGCTAGCAGCTGGCACCCCCTTCACAAGGGTGCATATGTTAATATTTCTAATAGATGGCACACTACCTTCTGTATTAGTTCCTTTGCTTTCCTTACTAGGTTCCTCCTTTACGGAGGAGTCTTGTTCAGGTTCCCGCACTGGGTCTTTTTGCTTGGGAGCCGAAGACTGAATTTCTGAAACAGCAGATGGCCCTGGTGTCTCACAGCTCTCAGGACTGTTTTTAAAGCCATCAGAAAACCATTGGCTCTCCTCTGCCTTGATCTGAGCTTGCCTTTTCATTTCCCTCAGCTGCTTTCTGGCTTGATACCCCCTCCACGCAGCTTGGATTTGCATTGCGGCCGAACCCATCCCTCGCTGCTGTGTCTTGCTTTCGAAGACATTCAGGGTAGGCAAGCCACTAGGGAACACAAAATCTTTCCTCTTGGTCTTGAGTGAAGACTCTACTTTCGGGAAGACCGCTGTGGGGATAAACAAGGTGCCTTCTCTTTCGGAAGTCTCGTGCTGGCTTCTTTCGCTGTCACTTTGTGAGAGGCTGCCCGATGTATCCGAGTCCCAATCCCACAGCTGATAGAACCCCAGAATGACTGGGAATAGCTTCTTCTGGCTTTCTGCTTTCCTTTTCTTTTTCAATTGTAGCCCTTCATCCTTGCCACAGGTGTGAAATCCCAGAGGCAGCTCCTGTCGCGTCCTGTAGCCTCGAAACACAGCTTGGATTTTGGCAGCCGCTTTATTCATCCCATCCATCTCCCTTCGGACCTGATAACCCCGCCAGGCGGACTGAATGATTGTGGCCGACTGGTTTTCTTTTTGGAGTTGCCGTGGTGTTTTTCTCGGTCTGATTCGGTGCTGCTGGGACGGCGCCTTGCTTAGGCATGCAGTGTTGAAATTGAAAAGCCCGGTGTAGCGTAGACACTCTTGCTTGCACACAGCCTGGCCACTTTTCCGATCTTCACTTCTCCCTGTGGCCAACTGCCTGTGCCCGGCAGCATCTTTACCCGCTGTATTGAAGACTGTGGACCTGTGCATGTGCATTTGTACAGTACACCTGCCGGGCGGAGTTCTGTTCATTCCTTGCCTCGCAGCTGTGTTCGGCGCATTTGCTGCTGTGTGTGGAACACCGTGTCTGTAATGTGAAAACATAACATATTCGCTAGAGATACCCAGAGGCTCAGATTCTTGTGTCTCGTGCCTCGTTCCACGATTGGATGTTTTGTTGCCAGTTGGGACTTTTTTCATGGTCTTTTCACAACAAGAAATCCAATTGCTATTATATCTGCTCCATGCCCCCTTGCAACCTGCTGGAATTAGAGGAAGAGAACCATGTTCAGCAACGGACTTAACCCCTACAGAGGAATCTCTCCATTAAGTGCAGTGTGCTCTCCAGTGAGTGTACCAGTAACCACAGCACTTGGGCAAAAGGGCTGCAATAGCCATATATTCTGTGCTCAGCTCCACATGCCTAGCCTTGCTCCAAACTGTTCTGCTTTATGATTGCTACCACCTTCTGTTTCTTTTGCTAATGTTGCAGTCAATGCAGGCTTCCTTCCCTTACTGCTTAGGCTACATCTGCACTGTCGCAGAAAGTCGACTTAAGCTACGCAACTCCAGCTATTTAAATAACATGTTAAAGTCGACAAAACTTAAGTCGACTTACTGCACGTTCTACAACATGGGGAGGCCAAAGGGAGAAACTCTCCTGTCAACTTCTCTTACTCTTCTCATCTTGGGTAGCATAACAGGTTTGACAGAAATGTGATCTGTGATCGATCTGGCAGGTCTTCATTAGACCCACTAAATCAACCACAGATGGATCGATCTCAGACTGTTGATCTGGGCTGATGTGTAGCTGCAGCCTTAAAAATAACTTCACCAACAATCTATCTCCTACGTAAGCAAGCAGTGAGCATACCTGAGCCAGAGGTGCGCATCTCAGGTTCATTCAGCATTATGAGCACCTGTGACCAAGGAAGACACATCCTACTGCAGTTCATTGCTTCCAGACCAGCTCCTCCATCTGAAATTTCAGGTTGGAGGGATGTTTTGTACCATCTTCTTCAGTGGTGTGAAATGGATTGGAATGGCAAAAAAAAGAAGAGTGATAAAACTCCTCACAGCCACAACTGTGTTTCAATTCTTATTTCTCTTGACTCTTTGCTTCTCTGATTTTTGGGTTCACCGTGCTGGTCAGACTTCCATCCGCTCTCCTATGCCTTCTTTCTGGAGGTGGCAGGTATGAAATCTCAGAGCCATATTCATTTAGTTTGGCTTATTACATTTAACATGTACAGGGATGTTATTTATTCCTAGTGGGGAGTCTTTTAAGATTAGACCTCTTTGAGGGCATGTCTATACTTACCAGAAGATCGGTGCTCCAGAGGTCAATCTTCTGGCATTCAATTTAGTGGGTCTAGTATAGACCTCTAAATTGAATGCCGTACGCTTCGCAGAAGGAGGAATAAGGGAACCTGGCAGGAGTGTTTGCTCCTGTCAGCCTTCCACAGCACGGACACCACCAAGGCTCAGCTTAAGGTAAACTGACTCCAACTACGCATTGTGTGTAGCTGGAGTTGGGTGCCTTAAGCCGACCTGCCTGGTCTAGTGTCGACCAAGCCTGAGCATTTCCTGTTAAGCCTCTAACGCTTCGCAGAAGGAGGAATAAGGGAACCTGGCAGGAGTGTTTGCTCCTGTCAGCCTTCCACAGCACGGACACCACCAAGGCTCAGCTTAAGGTAAACTGACTCCAACTACGCATTGTGTGTAGCTGGAGTTGGGTGCCTTAAGCCGACCTGCCTGGTCTAGTGTCGACCAAGCCTGAGCATTTCCTGTTAAGCCTCTAACTGATGGAATCTATGGGGCTTTGTGTTTTGAAACACCAAAAAACACATCTCTCTGTGTTAGTCATGTATATGCCATGCCAGCAGGCCCATAGGAGGGCTACCATCCGCTCCAATTGGCTACCATCCGCTCCTTTCAGCAAGTTCTACTGAAATCAATGCAGGCTGCAGATTTAGATGCTTAACTATAAATTTCAGAACCTAATTACACCTTCATATGTTTTGGCTATCATTTTTCATACATGAGCTATTCTAATTTGACAGTGCCACAGGTCCCGATTCAGCAAGCAGGGGGAACTCTCCTTGACTTCAATGAACCTACTCATGTGACCGACATAAGGCACAGGCATAAGTATGTCACAGCTCTACTGGGGAATGCAGGGAATCAGATGAGCCCAGGGAACACAAGGTACGGGGTTAAGAAGGACCAAGGAGGTGCCAGAACTAGAATTAGCCCTACCTCCGTTTCTGACAAAAGTTTTACCGACAAAAGTGCAGTGTAGACATAGCCTCAAACCTTCTCTAATAATCTGCTGCAATGCCCCTCCACGAACACAGCAACAATTTCTAAAGTCATTACCCCAGCCTTATTTCCAAATTTACTTGGGCTGAAGAATGTAACTCCAGACAGTAACTCTCCAGTTACGGGCAATATAACAAGCCCATCTGAAGAAACTTTTCAATCAGCAAATAGATCAGTATTTCGAAACAGGCCTCAAGAATGCTACACCAGGAACCAAGATAAATTCACCCCACAGTTTAACATATGCTCAGTCAAATCATAACAAGTGGATATTTGATATAGAAAATCCTTGAGCATTAAATTCTGGACTCCTGAGCTGGTAAAGTGATGATCATCTATGAATCAATATTATTCTACCAGTATACTTTATTGGATTATTTAAATAAGTGTTTAAAATTATAACTTGGTTTTATTTTACCAGTAGTCTGTTTGGACACAACTCACCGGAGACTGGAACGCGGGTACAGAAAACTGAGCTCTCATTATGACATCATCCTCTACTATGATGTAGACAGTAGGAGCAAAAACATGGTTCCAAGCCCTTGGTTCAGGAAAATGAGCATGGTTAGATTCATTTCAAGTGATGCTGTTACCCTCATCTTTTCTTTCTTAAAAGTCTTATTCTACACCACTCTGACAAGAGAGGCAGACAGGAGCACTGAGGGTGGAGTTTACAATAGCTTTCAAGGTGGAAACCTGCACCCACTGAAGTCAATGGGAGTTTTGCTATTGATTTCAATGGCAGCAGGATTTCACCTTTGGTGTTGGCTTAACTCAGCTCCCCTGGAAGTCGATGTTGAAAATTCCACTTTGAGTGTTCTCAGCCATCTTTGGTTCCCAATTAGAAGTGAGAGTTCTCTGGACATGACAAGATCCAGCTCTTAATTTGTCACATTATAAGAAAAGCAGGACTCAAGTAAGGTACAATTTTACTCTAGGGGGAATTTTGCATCACTGCCCGGGTGCAGAATTCATGTTCCCCACAGATTTCTTTGTTTCCCTGGAGAAAAATGTATTCTGATGATGTGGGTAAGGTGGGAAACTCGAATCAAAGTACATCAACTCCAGCTATGTACTTGATGTAGCTAGCTAGAGTTGCGTATCTTGATTTGACCTTCCCCTTTAGAGTAGACCTGTCCTCGTTCTCCTTCTGTCTAATAAGCATCCAGCTAGCTGACCAAGACTGCATATTTTACAGCACCTGCTCTAAATCTATGACCAGAAAAGCAGCTAAGTGCAATGCCTTAAATAATCTGATGGTGATACAAGTTTGTCAGGTCTCTGAGCAGCTGATAGGATTGTGTGCTAGGTCTTTGTTTTCCCAGCAGCAAGTCAACACCACAGGCAGAAGCTGCATTTTCTAGCTTTGTTGTTCTTTTCTTTTCGCTTGTGTGTGTTTGCTCTGTTTTCTAGGAAATGGGGTCAGATTTTAACTGTGGCAGCTCCAGGCCATCTCAACTAATTGGTCCTCTTTTCCCCAAACTGACAGTCATTGTCCATCCAAGAGACTGTCAAACAAGAGAGGAGGAGAGGAAGTTTCTTTTTCAAAACTCTCTCCAGCTGAAAGGGACAAGGGAATAGTTACAGTGGAAGCCATAATACTTTACATTCCAAATGCTTTAACTGTTTTTCCCTCTTTCCTGTATCTTTAATAAAAGGCTAAAAGTTGTTTAGTGATGTTTGCCACTGTGCTAAGCAGGTTGAGGTCTGTGTATACCAAACCCCAGATCTTGTTTAAAACAGTTGAATGTTGGACAGTTTCAGGGTCACATTAGCACCTCTGACTGTGGCCATATGTTCTAACCAATTAATACAATATTCCCTCACCTTCATAGAATATTGGCTACGGAGGTAGGAATTCCTCTTTAAGCCACTGTATACTCAAGTCATAGAGATCCTTATATTACTGCACAGAGATATAAAATGAAGTGGGAATGAGGCATATCATAGGGAATCCTGCATTAAACTAGAACCTCCTACACTGGCAAAAGGAAAATTAAGGACAGTAGGAAGAGTTTTTTGTTTAAAGGGGGAGACACTTCAAGAAGAGCACTGAAGTCAATTCTAAAAAGAAAGCTTTACAAAGTGATATATGATGCCAGATCCTGGGCATTTAGTTTTCCACTCATTTCTGCCTATTTTAACACCTCGTAACTTCCCTGAATTGTTTTCTTCTTAAAGGCTTTGTGTTGCAACTACACATATTGGAGCAGAAATCACTCGTTTCATTTGCAATCAGATAAACACCACTGTTAAAGCCTTCTCCCAGAGCGTACATTCCCACACTTGTTTCAGCCCCAAACATTTTTCAGGAGGGGCTGATGCTGGTACTACGTGCACACAGGAGACATGCGGCCAGCAAAAACAGGAAGTCATGCAGGCGGTTATTTACAGCAGACCGTGTGAACAGTATGTGCATTCCACTGAAGGCCCCTTTAAAGGAACTTTTCCAGTTTGTTTTACTGGGATTCTCTCTCTCTCTCTTTTTTTCCTCTTTTTTTTTTTTAAAGGTAAGAGATGCTTGGAAAACTAGGCCATACGTTGACTGGTTTTACCTCAAGGTCCAGAAGTAGATAGCCTCAACCTTTTCTTCCCATAATGCATTGACTGCAGCACGCAAGTACCCTGGTGATGGAGATTCTACTGGGACAAGAATCTCCTCTAGCAGGATGAGCTATGGTTCAAATGTTAGGTTTTACTAAAAGTCTTGCCAGCCGCATCAAGGCTGCATGGTAAAGTTAGAGCTGTGAGAAGCCACTGGAAAGAAAAATGCTTCCTCGTGACAAGCTGCCTCTCCTGCCTGTTGCCATCAGAAAACCCATTGTGATAGGAGAGGAAGTGAAAGCTTTGCCTCTGTCCTGGACAAGAAAATCCATGAAGCAGCATAAACAGAGGACTAGCAGCCATTGCATTCTGGATCCAAAAATCAGAATACTTATTTTGGCCCCAAATCAGCAAGGTTCATACATGTTTAAGGTCCAGCATGTGCTTGAGTGCTTTGATTTGGGGGGTTAAAGAGCAGGAATCAGTACATTCTTGAAAAAGAAACAAGAATAAGCTGATGTCCTGTACCCCATGTGCTGGTGTGCTGTACCCATGTCACCATATATAGGATCAGTATGTGAACATTAACAATTATTTAAAAGTGACTGTGCTTTTGTGTTAACCATTTTTGAACCTAAATATTTCCCAGTCTATTTCAAGTGCATAAGGGTAAGAGCAACAGAACAAGAGTACTGCTTTGCACATTTGTTTTATATTTTCCGATGATACTTTTCCTGCTTCTGAAACCACAAAAACATCCCTTATAAAACTATTAAAACGACAATAGGCGGGTGTGGCACAGAATAGAAGTACTCCAAAGCTAAACCACAGTTTGTTTGCTGGAAAGGACACTAAATGTGCACAACAGAGTTGAGACCTTAAAAAACTGCATTTGACAAAAGTACTCTCGGATTCCTATGTACAGGACCACTACCAAACACTAACAAAAGCAGATACAGAGTGGTTGATGCCACAGTATCAAACTGTTTCTAAAAACCATTCCTTGTTTTGAAATGCCACGCTCAAAAGAGCGGAGCTATGTGAAAAATGAGACATACTTTTAAAAACCCATCTTGAACTAGAATTGCTAATCAGAGCTAGAATTCACACTGCATAGATATGGACACAGAAAACCACTCTCCTACCTTCTAATAGATTTGAGCCATGGTGCAAGGGGGGGGGGGTTATTTCACTTGTACTGATGAAGTCAAGGTCAGCACCAGCTGCTTCACATTATAAACTAGCAATGATAAAGAACCTAAATAGTGTGATTTCCAGGTCTTATTAGACATATAAAAAATGTAAAACCTCTGTCAAAGTCCAACCGCCACCCCCAATCCTGATTCTGCACAGATTTCGAAAGTTACAGCCGACTGCAACAATTGCCATGAGTGCTCCGCACCCATGAAAAAAAAAAAAATCAAGCCATTTATTTGGTGCCAGGTGTTAGGCACCTGTGTGGGAAAGTTTTGGTCACAATCTGTCTCAGATTACCCATTTTTAAAAAGGAAATAATACTTAGCCCCATGCTCCCCTCTGTTTTAGGCCATATGGGAGCAAAGCACTGGTCGGATCCCACAAGAGGAAAGAGAGACAACATGGTATAGTCCCACCTTCCACAAAGGGCTCCTGCTCCGTTCATCAGAGACTGGCTTATCAGAGGATCATTAGTTTGTTAGAAAGTTATCCCATTTTGCAATACACACAGAATAGAAGACAGGTGGGGTTTTCAAATGTTCCCCAGCTCCCACTGAAGTCTATGAAAATGGGAGCACAGTTAGGCAGAAGCAACATGCTTTTGAAAAATCTTCCCCCGCAATGGTCTTCACTCTCAGCTAAGATGCTCTTCAGCCACCCAACCCCAAGCAGCCATTGCAAAAATCTGTTACACATTTTCAACACAATTAACGTGCATCCTCCCAACCCTTCAAAAACATGGCAGATTTTAAAAAACAAATGCAGATTCTAATTGCTAGCCATGTGTGTAAAACATTCTTTCACTTTATTAAAACTTGGATGGAAGAAATAGATTTTCATTGGTAAATGTCAGTAAATATCAATTTTGCATAAGCCAATGGAAAACACATCAGTTCCATCAATAATCAAAATTACTACTTGAGAATTTATTAATTCACACAAAAAACCTCTGTATATTTTGACATCTAATGTTGACACTTTGTGTTTGAACAACTATAAAAGTTTACTACTGACCCCCATAATTTTATCTGCCGCCCTATAATTTTGCACAACTGTAAAAATTTAAATTATCCATTAAACTTCAACATTGATATTTTCCATCAAAATTACAAAAAAGGGTCAATTCTGCCAAACCTAATGAAAGATGTTGAAAACTTCTATGACAATGAACAAACTGTGGCCTACTGAGTATTTTATAATGTCTTTATTATTTTTAGAAATTTTTTTTTTTTAATACACACAATTAGAGAGCATTACTTTTGAAACTGAACTTCCGTGTTAGTCTGAAAAGGCTATTTGACACTGCCCCTTTAAAATTAAGGTCCATGTTTTTATGCTGGTACTTCTACGATTTCAAAATAATCATTAGGTAGAATCACATAGCCTTTCCCTGCCACTATGTCTTTTTCCTTCTGAAACTGAACGATCTCTCGCAGCTTTTCAATCTGTCTTTCCTGACGTCTGCATCGCTGCTGCGCTGTCTTGAGCTTCTTTCGCAGTTTTTCAACTTGTTCCTCCAGCTGCTGAATTCTCTTTCTTTGATGTACTGTATCCTCTACAGTATAGTTGTGATCACAGAAAACGGCAAGATTACTAGGGGTCTGGAGAGGAGGCATTAATAATCCAACACTTGGATCTACAAATCTTGCATCTATTTGAGACGCAGGAAAGGAAGATGGTGGTGGAGCAGGTGGTAGCAAAGGAGGTGGTGGTGGAGGGGGTGGTGGTACTGCAGACAGATCTTCAGGTTGCTCTGTAAATTCTTCAGTCTAAAAACAGCAAGAGAAAAAATACATTTTAATCTGTTTTGGGAATAGGCCATCTAATCACCAGATTGTAGTCTATAAACAACAATAAGCATATCAATTACTAGCAAAAACAGCTAAGAACTTCATTAAAGTTTTCTGAAAACCATCCAAAATAACTCTCTCTCAGGTGTTAACAACTCAATTAGATATCCCATTATACAGGTATAGGTGGAATTATTTTTCCAATGTACATCCCTTTGCACGCAGCAGTATTGCATTTTGTCTCCCATTTTGCTGCCCAGTTTTTGGAGATCCCTATGTAACACTTTGCAGCCAGCTTTGAACATAACTATTTTGCAGGAATATTTTGCATTTGCAAATGTTGTCATTTCACCATTCAGTCCCTTTTCTAGATCATGAATGAATATGTTGAACAGCACAGCTCTTTGACGGAACCTCTCTCTGTTGCAAAAACGGACCATTTATTTCTACTCTTTATTTCTTATCTTTTAGCCAGTTCTTGATCCATAACCGACCTGTTATTCCAGGACTAGTTCATTTCCTTAAAATCCTTTAGTGAGGCATCTTGCCAAAGGCTTTCAGAAAATTCAAATACACTAAACCACCCAAGACGTCCTTTCACAGATGCTTGCTGACCCCCCCTCAAACAATTCTAATAGATTGAAGCATAACTTTCCTTTACAAAAGCCATGTTGACTCTTCCCCAACAAATCATGTTTATCTATGCACTTGGTAATTCTGTTCTTTACTATGATTTCTACCAGTTTGCCTGGTAGCAAAGGTAGGCTGAACAGCCTTTACTTGTCAGGATTGCCTCCGGAGTCTGTTTTAAATATCCTCCAGTCATCTGGTAAATAGGCTTTTTCAGCAGTTCCATACTATAGTTAGTAGTTCTGCATTTCTTTTCTGAATTCCTTCAGACATTCTGAGTAAATGTCATTTGGCCCTGCTGACATATTACTGTTAAATGTATCAATTTGTTCTAAAATTCCACAATGACGCATGAATGGGACAATACTTCAGATATATCACCCAAAAAGGACACCTACATGAGCTGTCTCTCACCTACACCTGTCGCTTTGCATATATAGGTTGAACCTCCCTGGTCCAGCAACATCCATGGTCTGGCAGGACCATGGATGTTGCTGGACCAGAGGGCCCCGATGGCTGGGGCCCACTGAGAGTCCAGCAACCAGGAACTTGGCAGCTGGCAGCAGAGCTGGGTTGGCAGGGTCAGGAAGGGAGCCCAGCTGGGAGGCTGGCAACCCCATGGGAGAGCCGAGGCCAAGAGGCTGGAATTCATCTCCCCTGGTCTGGCAAACTCCCTTGTTCGGGACCAGTCAGGTACACAAACACTGTTAGCAAAACTACCTTATCCTGGAAGACCATCTTGGTTACAACAATCTCATGGCCCACTGAGATGCAGGAGGGGCACTCATTGGGCCTACTCACTAACCTAGTTGGCCGCTCTCTCCTTCAAAGTTGTCCTGCTCTCTGTTTAATATGCAAAAACACAAAGGGGCAGACAAAATCCAGATCTCCTTAACACGGTTCTTCTCCCTTCTCTGTATTAAAAAAATGCATATATTGCAGTATTTGAGTAACAAAAATTAAAGTATTATAAGAAAAAGTTTTCACATTACCTTTATCTTCTCACTGGGTTCAGTGTAACAAAATATCGTGGGCACAGCATTTTCCTTCAGTAGCTTGTTATTGCACTCTCTTTTAAAGCAATCGGGAGTGAAGTGCTCTGAACAAATACTGCTATACTTTGTGGGCTTGAAATTTTTTCTTTTAACAGCAGCTTCCCATTTCTTGCAGAGGTCAGGTCTGGTGAGAGGAAACCTGCAAAGGAAATGAACTATCAGCGCCACTGAAAGCAACAGCACTGTAGGCATACAAAAGGCACGGGTGCAGCACTCAGGGTTGGTCGGCATGGCGGGGCCAAGGAGCCCGGTGCTAGCTGCTGTACAAACAGGGATCAGAGAGGCAGCCTGCTGGCCCTGCGACATTCAGCGCCCTGGCTGGGTTTGCCAGCGCATACATCTACGGCGGGCATAGGGGCGCAATGGGGGGGCGCAAGGGGCCAGTGTCCGCAGGCAGGCCAGGGTTTTGCATGGTTCGGGGGAACTGACAAGCAGGTGCTGCCGTCGGGCTGGCCAAGGCACAAGTGGCCAGGAGGCCTGGACAGGGAGCTGG